CAATAAAGATTGCTTTTGTGCTAGGCAAACCCCGTGGATCCTATGCTCTTCATATTAATTTTCATTTAGAAGGAGCATTCAGTGGCTTCTTTTCTAACTTTTGTTTCATGCTAATAGAGTATTTGTATGGCAGGACAGCTCTTACTAATGTAAGGATTTAATGAGAGGTTCAGTTGCAGAGGACAGTTTTCTGAAAAGCAGAAAGGTATTTATTTGTTCCTCATAAAGCTAAGAAGAATACTAAGTGAAGAGGTTTCTCGTTGGAGATTAATACTGGGTTTAAAGGACACCCGACCACTTCAGTGGAAGCGGTTTTATAACAATCAGAGCGATGAAGTAGAGAATAGGGAATTACTTCATTTGCTGCAGACAAGTCAGATATGTGAGCCTTTGGTAAGCCTGGAAATCAGCCCAGTCGTTACACGTCTGAGTTTAGCTTCTTGCTGATAACACTTCTGATAGGTGACGTGACTGGATGGTGCAAGATGCAGTTTTGTGGAATGGGAATCCTAAGCCAAATCCCATTCCTGTTCACCCTGTCTAGTTCCTCATTAGAGAGAATAAAAGACTTACAATCTCTCTCTGATAAGAGGAATGCTGGGGTCAACATTCAGCCACCAGTACAGTTGGAGAGCCTGGCCTGTGCTGACAAGTGCTGTTAAACACATCATAGCCTGTGCTAGGGCAGCCTCTGCCAGGGACAGGAAATACACATGCTGCATGTGTGTCTCTTCTGCAGCCAAAACCAGGGAGGCTGCTTAGCTGACTTGTTTCCGCAACCAAATATTTGCAAAGTGCATTACATTTTTCCTATATAAATGTCTCTTTTCCAGAACGGTATAAAGGATCCTAACACAAATGAGATTCAAACCCATATTGCACTCTACAGTAATGCTAATTTGTTATAAAAGGAAGCACTGCTGTTCAACACTGTGTTAATGAAATGCTGAGACATACCCATCTTGAAAGCACTGTGGGGAAAGAAAGCTGAAGCAATTGATTAGGTAACAAGGAAAATTGGTAAGATTTTTTTTTTTTTTAATATATATAAACCAGTGTTAAGCATGGGCAGAAGGCATTGGTTACAGCTCTACAAAATTCAGATTTACTTCTCACTAAGGAAAAGAATATATTCTATTTGTAATAGCTTAAGCTGACACCAAAACTGTCATTTAATGAATTATAATTAATTTTCCTAAATCTAAACTGGAAAGGAAAACATGACTTCAGAACCTTACTCGTATGGGCCATAGAAACCTGATATTTAGCCTTGCAAACCCTCAAGATTTTTTGTTTGCCATTTGCCATTCTGTTCTCCATTGTTTTTGTGACATCAGTTGCAAAATCCAGCCTGATTTTTACTTATATAATACTTTTCTGTGGCAGTGGCATTCATGGATTTTGCCTGGCCAGAACTCCTCCTGTAAGACCAGCCAAGAGTAGGAAGCCATACTGCACAGCACTTGGAATTTATACAACTGATAATAGTTACTTGCAAAACAGAGAGTGGAAATAAAAGCATTGCTTACTGTGTTTTGTTTTGCTTTTCTTGACAAGAAATTCAGTAATAAAGCCAGCTACCAACAGCTACCAATAAGGTAGTAGCAGATTTGAGGATCCAGGTATTTCTCTTCATTTGAAACAGTCAAAAATACTTCCTATCTCTGAAATAGTCATAGAAATCAGAATTCCTCTTACAAGGAGAATTGCAGGCATTACACTTTTTTTTTCTTGTTTTTTTTTTTTTTTCTTAATGAAATTACTAATTTGTTTCTTTAGAAACTTTTTTAAGAAGAAGGAACTGGCACATGTCTCAGGCTTCTAGTGTTTTGTCAATATGTGCTGCTTTGGATCTTTATCTCTCAGAACAGAAAACTGAGCAGATTTCTTTCCACGTGATTAGACACTTCTGCAAATCTGCACCCTCATCTCCTTCATCTCCTCCATTTAACCATGTGCTGTTTTGCTGAAAACACCTCCCTCCCCCAGTCATTGCACCGACGGTCTCCTCTGTTCTGTACTCTCCTAGTTTCACCCTTCAGCTGTTTTTCTCTTTTTTTTTTTTTTTTTTCCTCACTTGCTGTTTTGTAGTCACTGGGCTGCTTTTATGGAAGTGCTGTTTGGTACGTGCCCACCACGTTCTTGAACTTTGCATCCTCTCCTACCACCACATCATTTCTCTCCCTGCTCTTCCATCCACATGCTCAGAAATCAATCAGCACTGATTACCCAGTACATCTACAGGGGGGAAGAGCTGCAGTTTTTAAAGGAAAATTGTGGAGGAATTCAAACTTCAAAGGGGGTCTCATTCTGTTGGATCAATTTGGGCCGGGAACGTCGGAGTAACTTACTGTTCTGTGAAATGAATGCTCCCACCAGTCAATAGCTGACTAGCTCAGACCTTGCAGAACACATTTCATTTCAAACCAGTGAAACGCCTGCTTTGTCCTCTCTGGAAAAACTAAATGATATCAACAAAAGCAAGGGAGGGCTATTGTTACTTCAATTATTGTTATTGCTGGCAAATAAAGCACTGGAGAAATCTAAAGGCTTGTATTCACAATCTGGCATATTCAAATAATGCAGATGCTATCCCGGAACATTATTTAAATGCCTAATCAGCTGGTAGCCACAAAATAATAAGATGTTAGGCCAAGGAATCTTTGGGGTCACATTGATTTATTCAACAGTTGATGCATTTCATATGATCACAGCAAGCAAACAGAATTGATTTAGAGCTGCTATTTATGGAGATCAGCTCACCAGGAGCTGTAACTATTCAGGCTCCTGGAAGAGTCTCACACCGCACTACTAGCAGGCAGTACAGACCAACAAACTTCTGGGAGTATTTATCTGCTCATGGCATGAACAGTCAACCCGTTTCTTTGCTCAATGTCAATGTATCATAGAAGAGTTTCTTCTTGTAGGGAGTCCAGCTTGATTCAGGAGAAATCAAAATGCAGGGGGGTGAGAGAACCGAGGAAAGCAAAGTTAGAGAAGAGTGAAAATTAAAGTCTGGAGGAGGTGAAAGCTGAGCACTGGAGCATGGTGGTTTTGGCACATACTTAATGCTTAGGAATTCACACATCATTAACAGGAGATATATTTAAAAAGCAAATAAAACTTTCAGTGCTTGGATCTCTCAGATTATTTTGGAGGTTTATCAAAACTTTTAAAAATTGGCTTGTTATTAAAACATGCAAATCTGAAAAAAAAAAAAGTATTCTACAAACAACAGGAAAGGTGTGCCTGGTAAAGCATGTTGTGCTTGTTGCCTCTGAAACCTAGCCAGAGGGATATTATAATGGGATATGCTGCTTGTCTGCCTTGGGAAAAAGATCATGTTCATGTAAGTTGTGTTCTACACCACAAAATGTGATAACATTCAGTAGAGGCATTTCAAAAATGTATGCTTTGAATTGCAGTTTGCAAAAACAACAGTTGGTGGCACTTTGAAACAATTTTTATTTCTAAATGCGCATTTGCTGATTGTAGGTGTGTAGAGGATGACATTAAAATATTAAATTACTGGTCTACAGTGATTCAAATTACAGTAACAATACAGAAGTTATCAACTGTCTTCTGCATGGTTCACAGATAGCTTGCTTACACAGAATTTGAAGACATGCATTTATAAAAACAAGGGAAGGTGATCAGGGTCAAATTCTTCTTAAAAAAATATCAGAAAGAAATTACTGGAAAAGACAGTAATGACAGAGAAGGGGAAATCACTGCTAACTCTGTAGCTTACTCCAGCCCTTAGAGGCACCGAGGCCTGCAGTAGCACAGCACATTTCTGTGCACAGCTTGTCTTCATCCAGTTTACATTTTGAAGGTTGTTTGTTTATTTATTTATTTATTGTCACAGCATTGATGTGCATGGTATATAATATGCACGTAGATTTCTTTTTTAAACAGCACACACGGGATAAACAGATATTTTCCAGGATCTTAACCCTCAGGAAATGTGAGGGAAAAGAGCAAGGAGAGATAGCAGTGGCTATTGAGTAAGAATCAAGCCTTTGTCCATGGTGTTTCTACCAATAAAGCACAATTACACTGCGTGCACAGAAACTGCAGCACATCTGATGGGGTGGGAAACCTGGGCTTTACTGGAGAAATCAGAGGGTTTGAAATATATTCTCTCTATGTTTTTACATACCTTGTCTGAATACACAAGATCTGACAAACAAAATCTCTTTTGCTAGAGATTACATATGATCGTTCCTCCCACAGACTGGTGGCTTCAGTGCCACTTTTTTTCTAGAAGAGACACATCACCACATCATCACAGAGACAGCCCTGAATACCAGGGCAGCCTGCTGAGTTGTCTGTGACCGTTTGCTCAAAGGACTGGAAGATCAGCTCACAGCTGGTGCTTGGCAATCTTTACCGCTTGGCCAAAGGAGCTTCAGCACCTTCTGTTCTGCCTCTAATTCTCACTTATTGGAACTGAAAAGTCTATGTCAACAGAGGATAATAAATTTGGAACCATTGCTGCGTTCTGCCCCTCCCCTTCATCCTGCGGATCAGTTGCAAATGAATCCTGTTTGCTGCATTGGCCCTGAATATGTTGGTCTTGACAGTATAATCCAGAAGGGATTTTTATTTGGCTTTCTAAATGACATGTTTTGCAGTTATTAATAGTTCTTTATATTGGCCAGTTTGGATTCCATGGCAAAATGTTTCATTTAGCTTCAGACAAACGCTGCTTGATGCATTTACAAATATGGTCTTGCCTGGGAATATTTTGCTGCTTTCCTATTTGATTCTATTGGGTTGTTGGCACTGAGGGGAAAGCTTGACATATCCAGTACGATAAAGCAAACTTCCTTCTTCTGAACAGTAATGCTGCCTGGCACTCTGGATTTTCTACAATGTAGAAAAGACTTGGTGCAACCATGCTAGATTTGGTGTAACCATGAGCTAAATGCCAATTTGACGTTTTCTGGCTTTCATATACTTCCATTTATCTTAGACTTTTGTAAAGTTCTTGCTTCAGCTCCATTCATGTGATGCCTAGGCAGCCCAGCAATGCCCATGAGTTTCATGCCTGAGCATCTTTCTGAGCACTCCACACCTCTGCATGCTGCCCTGCAGCAGAAAGCTTCTTTCAGTCTGAGAGCTCCTGCTGTAGACTGAGATGTTTTGTTTTGGACTTCTCATGTCAGTACTCTCCAGTATCTAGTTCAGTAATTTGTACCTTTGCTCATAGGAGATGGTTTGCAGACGATCATGTTGTTCTCCTGCGTGTCTGATCTTGTGCTTGCACAGTGCTTGGGAATGCTTTGTTTAGGCATATTGTATATCTGCCTGGGTATCATATCAGTTTTCACACGCTGGTGCTTTCAGTTCAGGTGCAGATTCAGAAACACTTATTTCCTACCTGGCTTTTACTGTGCCTGCATGTGGGCTTATGAGCCACCCTTTATATTGGCCACCATCCAAGGCAGTCACTTCTGGCTCAGCAAATACTGTCCTTCATTACATTTCCGACCTGCGGGCTCGATTGTTTCCGTCATGTTAGACATAAGCCCTTTGACCACGTTCTGTCTCAGAGCAGCTGTACCAGTTGCACAACCAGCTCCCTGCTCCCTGTGTGGCAGCAGCATTGCTGCTTCAGCTGGGAGCTTGGGGCTGCAGCTTGGTACCCACCGATGCTGTTCTGCCCTGTTGGCAAATGCCAATACCCACAATTTCAAACCTGCAAACCAGACCTGCAGACTGGTTGTTTTGAATAATTTACCCTGCTAACAATTCAGTCTCTGATGTGGTTGTTCCAAGCAGGTGTAAATCTGTGTCCCCTCCAGCACACTCTTGTGACTGAGGTTTAGGGTCAATTTCTTCCTCCCATCACTTAAGCATATTTTTGAGCCCTCAACAGTATCATCTGCTCCAGCAGGTGCCTGTTCTCAGAAATGCATCAGGTAGACCGTACTTCAAGTGAGTGAAAGTACGTGATGTTTTCCACTCTCAGAGGAGAAGAGGCAATGCATTTCCGTGGGTTTCATCATTCCCTGAGAACACCCAAGACCCCTCCACTGTCAGTGAAGGGACAGACATGCTACTGTTTGGTGGATGAGAATAGCCTCTGCAGCATTTGAAAAACACATTTCTCTCGTCACTGACTATAAAGTTTCCTTTATAGGCAATATATGGCGTTATATTAGGTGGACTGGATCACTCTCACCCTCCTTTATTCCTTTTTTCTGTTTGTCCCTTCCCTCCCTCTCTTTACTTCCTCCCTAGGCCAAGTGCCAAAAATGCTTAGCGAGGCAGGATCTCAGCTATCAGCTTAAATTGTCAAACTGGCTTCCACCTCTTTCATTTCAGAGAGCACTGTAATTGAAACTCCTCTTATTTTAGGTGGTGGTAGTATTTTAAACTCAGAACTATGTAAAGAACTGGAGATAATGCTAAACTGCTTAGCTGAGAAGGGGTGGCTACAGACCCAGTGAGGAAATGTTTGCATAAATCTTATGTAGGCAGATTCTCACCTAGAAAAAGCCTGCGTTTCTGCCAAAATATTCAGAATCTTTCTGGCATCCACCGCAAGACAATTGTCAGTCTTGATTGGTCCGGCAGGGAAAGGCTTTTGCTTTCATTTTTGTGTGTTTGGTGCCAGCATATTTCCCTGACAAGTGATGTGAGAGGTGACTGGAAGAGTTCATTGACTGTGGAGATACCGATGCAGGAAACCTTCCTTCTTCCACAGAGGTGAGTGCAAGCCTGCAGTTGCTCCTGAGGAGGATGTGTTGCCAGTGTGCTCAGTTTTTAAACAGTCCCTAGGTTGCATGGGCTGATGCTCTTCAAATATTGCAAGTGGAAGGATGGGTGAGTCCAGGCTTCGCTTTGCAGCAAGAGCTCTGAATTAAGAAACCTGGGAGGTATCCTGGTGGGGAATACTCAGCTGAAATGTGCTTTGCACCACTTTATATATATTTATTTTTCATTATTATTCCTGTGGCTAGAAATCAGGGACTTCATGGACAAAGGAGTCCCAAAACACTGTTTAATTAGTTGGTAACTAGGTGATAAGTAAAAATGTAAACATTTACTAAACCAGAGAAACTTGATTAAGTTGCTGATTGCTTCTGTTGTGCCTATTCTGTCAGGCATTAGGGGGCAATAGCAGGAGAGGAAAGCATATATAGGTTATGCCAATTCTACATGGAGCTGGCTGGGCTTCTTAGTGGCTTATTTCCAGACACTTGAAAGTTCGAGTGACAGGACTGGAGTGGGAGGCTTGTTTGGTTTTCGTGTGAAGGTGGCAAATTATAAAGATAGTAGCATTCCAGTGAGGTGTGCCTCAGCCCTTAAAATGCTTTAATTTATCAGTTGTTATCAGCTAATCAAGAATAATCCTGAGCAAGGAGCCTAAGGATGAGGTTAGAGGGGACTGGGCACAAGGACGGGACTGTATTGCCTCAGGTAGCCTCAGCAATGCTTTGCAGTCTGAGGTATTGACAGTGGGAGCAATGAGACGCAGCTTTATCCAGGAAGACTAGGAGAAGTGTTTTACAAAGGCTGACTGTAAGGTTGCTGACCTTAACAAAGAAAGATTTCTTATACTATATGCAAATGAATCTTCTATGGGGAAAAAAAAAAAAAGTGTATATTTTGATTTGTTGATGGAAAAATGCTGCACAGCATGTCTCATAAGCAATATAGCAAGTGTCACTAAACACTAGGGATGAGAGGAAAAACAGAATATCTTTTGGGAGATGGACGTACTGGGACAATTGAGCATCTGCACTGCAAGACTCTTGCACAGAATCAGTATTTTGTGGTTCATTCTGCTTCAGTTTGAAAACATTTTCTCAAGCATTCACATTTTATGCAGAACTGGTACTTAAATTTCAGCAATCTCCTAAGCTGATATGCTTTCCATCTGAAAATTTCTATTTAAACTCTGTTGTATCCTTCCAAAAACATAAGATGCTCTGCTCAAAGCCATTCTGATACAAATCTCCCTTCCCAAGTGATACTGGATATCTGTTTGGCATCACAGATCTAAGAATGTAATAGAGCTATTTTTCCATTTCAACATGAATTCAGTTGCCAAGGCCAGCATCTTCACTACCCCACTTTAGCATGTATGCATGCTAAATCCATTATTCATACTGTCTGTATGTCATCAGCAGAAATTTGCCTACGTGCTCCTTCAGAAATTGGCTGCCACTGCATAGCCTCACCTAACCAGCTGTGGGTACATAAGAGCTTGCTTTTATTTTCAGATAATATCATATGTTACAATTGTGAGTCTGAAAGTATTAAAAGTGGACTTGTGAGGTGATATGTTTTTTATCACTTGCTGTTTGAGAGCCAGTCTTAGCTGTCTGGGTTAAGATAGAACAAGCCAGTAACTGATGTCCCCATAAAGTAACAGAAAGAAATAATAGTTGTTTCTTCTAGGCAGTTACTCATTTAAAAACTAGGAAAGCTTCTTCCAAAACAGGAAAGCATATATGTAATGTGTGGACCTAGCAAATGTTCTCACAGGTCCTGTGTCTCGTCTGCAAAATGTTCCTACCTGAGGGAGCAGTGGTCCTGTAACCGAGGGTTGTGCACACAAGTAAAGTGTTGTATAATATCCATTTGTCTCTTGTCTATTCAAAAATCAGACAACAACAACAAGGAGTTATTTTCATAGAAGAAGGCTCTTCTAAAAAACAGGCAAACAATTATATGATATCTGTTAACACTGTTCAGGCCGAAAGGTCAGCAAAAAAATAAAAAAGCTTTTGAAGTTTCTGATCAGGCACAGGCTTTTGCAGACACCATCAGACTTTTTATTTCACTTGTCTTCCAGGGTGAGACAGTCACTCAAAAATGGGATCAATGGCTCTGATCAATACCTCGCCCAATATTGTGAAAGGTCATATATCATTGTCTCCTAGCGCTAGGGTAATTTGCAAACAGACGTTACTTTTATTGGAGCAGTGCCCAGAGGATTCAAGCAGGATGCTCAAACACCACTCTGCTAGGCAGGCACAAAACAAAATAGTCCATACTTATCTCTCAAAGAGGAAGGAGCTGTGACAGCAGTAAAATGCAGGCACTGAAGGTTTGTGAGGGAAGGGGTAAGTGAAAATAATGGCAGAGGAATGGCAGAGCAAGGCAGTGCCTTCGAGCCACTGTTCTGTAAGGCTGAGGAAAGTCTGTAAGGGGCAGCTCATTAGGAGATTGCAACTGTCTCCAGCACCTAAAGCAATAAGTAGATTTTTCAGAAGAGCGGTGCCTGCATATTTCTGAAAATCTCCTCATAGCCTCACTGTGGGAGCCACAAGTTTCTGAGTGCTACTGAAAGCTTGGCATTTGCTTAGCAGTTGACATGGAAGCAAAACCTATCCTGAAAGTCTGTTTCAGTGTGCCTGCTTGCAGTGTGAGTCAGTGCGTGCTCCTCCTCTGTGCCCATTACCAGGCACTGTTGTGTCCTAGATGTGGGAATTACTGATGTCATCAAAGGTTAATTGTGAAAGAAATAATTTCATTTGTAAGTACCCCCAGCTGAGAAGCTGTTAATCACACCCCAGGCAAGCTTGCCAGTTTGCATTTCTAAAGATTCAAGAAAACAATGTTATGGCCTGGTATTTGTTTTATAGCACTGTATAATGAAAGTGGGAGTCTTGCTATTTTATGTAGATATGAAATGTAACAGTGGCTGCATTTTTGTACACTTTTTTTTCTTTCTGTAAAATGGCATAAATTTATTGTATTTCATATATAGAGAAAGCTCTAATCTCTGATTAGATTATTAGATTAACTCATGCTTAAAGGGAAAAATAAAATATTTACTTGCAAGTAAATTTAAAAATGTAGTGAAATTGAGCTTCACAGACTGTCAGATTTCAGGGCTGTGAAATCAGAGTTTCCTTAAAAGGAAACACTGCATCCTAAATATTTCATTAATAATTATAATTGCTTTAAGTATACCATAACTGCGTTAAATTTGTTGTTTTCCTTTATAAACCCATTTAATTTTTCAATTGTCTACTGGCAAACATTGCCTTCAGTGAAGTCAACACGAGAATAACATCAGGGAGGAATCTAAGATAATACAATCCCTTTCATCGAGTGCCATGAAAAGTTTATTAGCTGTCTCAACCACTGTGTGCAAGTACATTCATCTGACTGTCACTGGGATGTAGATACACAACAGGACAGATAATGAAACTATTTGGTTTGCCTTGTTTCCAAATTCCAGGTAAACACTTCTCTAAAACTGGAGAAGTCACGCACCTTCTGTGATAGTACATGATCTAAATTCATAACGTACAGTTTTAAATTATTGACCATTCTGAATATTAAGTTATATCTCATAATTATACATGTGACCAATTTTCTTCAATTAGGGTGACTGGCTTTCAAAGCAACACTAACCCTTCCACACAAATTGCAATAATTATATATTTCTTTACATTCATTGCAGATATATAGAGCCATGATGTATAAAATAAAAATATGAATATAAAGAATTACAAATAAAAATATGAATATAAAGAAGTATTTCATTCTTATGAAATAAAGAAGTATGGTGGCAAATACACCAGCTGAATCCTTGGCTCACCAGAATGACAATATTCCAAAAATAATATAAGGTGAGATGGACTTCTTTGTACTTGTGATGATTTTACATCACTTTGTACTTGTGATGGTGGGCAGCTGAGCTCCACCACAACCACTCTCTCACTCCCCCTCCTCAAAGAGGAACACGGAGAAAATACGATTAAAAGGGCTCAAGGGTTGATGTAAGGACAGGGAGATCGCACAGTAATTATTGTGATGGGCAAAATAGACTCAGCATAGGGAGACAGTAAGATTTATTGCTAATTACTAACAAGCTAGAGAAGTGAGAAACAAAGGAAAGAAACCAAAAGCACCTTCCCCCCCCCATTCACCCTCTTCCACCTCCTCCCCCCGAGCGGTGCAGGAGAACAGGGCAATGGGGGTTACAGTCAGTCTACAGCGCTTCTTCTCTGCTGCTCCTCGGTCACTCTCATCCCCTGTGCTGTGGGGTCCCACCCACGGGATACAGTCCTTGGTGAACTGATCCGACTGTGGACTTCCCACAGGCAGCAGCTCTTCCAGAACTGCTCCAGATATGGGTCTGTACCACAGGGCCCATCCCTCAGGAGCAAACTGCTCCAACCTGGATCCCCCACAGGCCAGGTCACCTGCTCCTGCATGGTCTTCTCTCCACAGGCTGCAGGTCCGGCCTGGAATCTGTTCGGGCAGGGATCTTCCACAGACTGAAGCCTCCATCTGTGTCCACCTGCTCCACCGGGGGCTCCTCCATGGGCTGCAGCGTGGAACCCTGCTCCACCGTGGTACTCCATGGGCTGCAGGGGGACATCCTGCTTCACCATGGTCCTCACCACAGGCCGCAGGGGACTTCTGCTCCGGCAACTGGAGCACCTCTCCCCCTCCTTCTACACTGACCTTGGTGCCTGCAAGGCTGTTCCTCACTCCTCTTACTCTCCCAGCTTCTGTGTGTGATGTGGCTTTTTTTTTTTTTTTTTTTTTCCTGTCTTAAATATGCTCTCACAGAGGCGCAAACAACATCACTTATTGGCTCAGATCTGGTCAGCAGTGAGGTCCTTACCAAACATGGGGCAGCTTCTAGATTCTTCTCACAGAAGCCATCCCTAAGACCCCCTGCTACCGAAACTTTTCCACATAAACCCACTACAATACTTGAAAGATACAAATAAAAAATAAACTTAAAAGAAAGCTGATATGGGAAACAGCTTGCTCAAGTTGAGTATTGCACTACTAAAATTATCCAAATAACCCTAATTTGAATCTTATTAATATTCTTGAGATCGAAAACCTTGTCATGACTAATTTTTACGCAGTACAAATCTGACATTAAGACACATTCTAAGAAAAACGTTTATTAATTATACTAGACTAGATTGTGATTCTGGTATTCACATGGAGTATCCTTTCCTAAATGAAAATACATTGGACTCACGCTGTTATTTGAAGAGCACAGTACTTAATGCAATTACAGCCCACCTGACTGACAATGTGGAGATCTTGATACACCTGAGGGTGAAACTCTACCAGGTTCGTTATTCCAGAGAAACTCTTCACAGTTGATACACTGATGGTGAAGGTGTTATTGCCACATAAACACACAAACCAGACCTTGACAATATTCGTAGAATATTTAGCTGGCAGAGTAGAAGAAAATTGTCAGTAACTGTTGTGACTAAATGCTTAATTATTTCCTAAGAAGTGAGCTGACCTCATCTTATGCCAAATGGTTCATATTTTTATGTAACACCTAAGAGGTCTCGAAATTCCATATTGTCCTCTAAAATACAAGTTCATTACAATGCAGCCATTACTAAAGTCTTTAAGGTCTTGCTTTCAGAGTAAACCTATGAAAGCCCGAATTTACATCCCAGTCCTACTCCAAAAATTTATGTACCATAAATCCAAATTCCATAAGCAAATTTGCCACAAATATAGCATATATTTCTTGAGAGAATTTTTCACCATTGCACCAACATGTTGTCTGTGTGGGTTTTGTTTGAGGAGATCAGAGGTAGCAACTTCATATTTAATAATGAAAAATTTATTGTAATGTTAACTACAAAGAACCCACTCCTACTCCATAACCATTAAAATGCAGAACGTCATCTTTTCAATAATGCAGAATTGTTGCATATTAAAAATTTAAATCTATAAATATTAAAAAAGCACAGGTCAGTGCTTTAACCAACAGAGGTAGTTGTACACACAGCTATCATTGTAAGTCTTAAGGGTCATGCATTTGTTATGGTGTAGAGCAAAAAAAGATATGATAAAAAGTAGCCATATGATAAAGTAAATTTTGATTCATTTTTTTCAGATGAGCGACAAGGACAAGAAATGTTGGATTAACTCAGGGGTCTGTGGTTGTCCTTTGGTAAGGACACATTCCTATTTCAATCTATCAAGCCAATGTGCTGGAGTCAGCTTTGTAAGGGCATGGCATGAAGATGCTTACAAAAGTGACTGCAGCCAAAATTACCTTTGCCAGCCTCACTCCTTTACATCACTTTGACAGAGTCAAGAGGCCAGAAACATAATATTGTTTTTCACTTCCTTGGTCTGGAAATGCCTGGACAGTCTATGCCAAATGTATCCACTATGACCAGAGAAGTGATTGCCATGCAGGAGATGAGAAGGAAACTCCTGGGTTATTGCAGTCCAGGTGTTCACCATGCCCAGGAAGGGGGAAGCTGAGCGGGCTTTGAGAGTCCTTCAAGTGATCCTGTCAGAACAAAGCAAACTTGAAGCACTGGAAAGCTACAGCTAGCTCCTCAGCAGTGATTCTTCTTAGATGTGTCAGCAGTTTCTGCATGCAGGTAGCATCAGCCTTATTCTGACAAAGAAAAAAACAGACTCATGGCAGTAGAGGTAAGAGGCTCTTTGCAGTCTGAACTAAATCCACCTTCCTTGAGCACTCAGCCGGAGTAGCTGGTTACTACATCCATGAGTTGTGACCTATGTGAAAGACATGCATGTGACTCAACAACAGAAAGGAGCTTGGACAGTCTGTGCAGCACAGGTCTGCCAGGGCTGTGTTGAGGGAAACCTTTCCTTCTTCACTCAGTGGTGTCCCAGTGGTGTCCACACTGGGGAACAACTGGAGCATGACCATCCTGTTGTATAATCTTATCTGAGTTAGCCATGCTGATGGCTGATTAACCTCAGCTTACAAACACCAAATAATACTGCATGTGGAGGTGGAAACAGATGTCTCTGGCATGAAGCAGAAAGGTAAGTAGTGGACATCTGGCTCTCCTCTCTAGCTCCATGTGACAGCTCTGCTGCCACAACATGCAGGGAGGATGCAGCATGTGTCTCCTTCATCTGCCTGGGTCTTATGGTTGTAAATGAGGCAGCAGCAGCTGCTTTAGGCAGTATTTTTCCCTTTTGTAGAATTGGTTATGCTCGTTTAGAAGAAATATTTATTGATAATGGGCTCAGGGGGGTAGGGCAGGATGTATCACTGTCATGGTGACAGATGGGAATTTATGGGCGAGGCTACTTATCCATGCTGTAATGGACAGGGAACACTGAGACCTTTGGGATGAAGGAAGGACATCAGCCCTGTGATATCCTGGTTTGTGAAGGGTATGAAGATGACAGGGACCTCCTGGAGAGATCATAGAATCATAGAATCATAGAATATCCTGAGTTGGAAGGGACCCTTAAGAATCATCAAGTCCAACTCTTGACACCGCACAGGTCTACCCAAAAGTTCAGACCGTGTGACTAAGTGCACAGTCCAATCTCTTCTTAAATTCAGACAGGCTCGGTGCAGTGATCACTTCCCTGGGGAGCCTGTTCCAGTGTGCAACCACCCTCTCTGTGAAGAACCCCCTTCTGATGTCAAGCCTAAATTTCCCCTGCCTCAGCTTAACCCCTTTCCCACGGGTCCTGTCACTGGTGTTAATGGAGAAAAGGTCTCCTGCCTCTTGACACCCCCTTACGAGGAAGTTGTAGACTGCGATGAGGTCTCCCCTCAGCCTCCTCTTCTCCAGGCTGAACAGGCCCAGTGCCCTCAGCCATTCTCAAGTGATGCTGTGCCCAGATCTCTCTGGGCACAGCATCACTCAGGCTCAGAGGACCTAAGACATAGCCTCTCTGGGCCCTCTGAGAAATGCAGTAGCCAAAATCACTTCATACATATTCAGCAACTTTAATCATGCTGACACTGTTTTCTACTACACTTGATAGCTCACATGGGGCCTTCAAATCTCCAGGCTTTGAGAAGAACTCTCCAATGTTTGCCCTAACAGAATTTGCTGAACTGGCTTGAAACAAACCTGGTCCATTTAACACATTTAGCAATAACTCCGAAGCAGCTGCATGTTTTTTTCTGACTGATATTTTCCTGGTTCCCATCTTCATTTTAATCTGTCTTTCTTGTTCCTTATCTGTGCCTGTAGCTGTTATATTTTAGAGTCATCTTTTCCACATCTATTGAAAGCTTAAACTTCATTGGAAAAATAGGAGAAGGGAAAATGGGTAAGGGAAAAGTTCTTTCCTTTCTTTCTTTTTGTTTATTTATTTTATTTTTTATTCTTACAAGTTCCAAAGCTGGTTTATGAAGAATTAGAGAGAAACTAGACCATGCAGGAAAAAGAGCAGAGAATCCTCAGGGAATCACCAGAGTTTCCTCATCTAGCTGTACAGGTAAGCAATAAATTATGTTGAAAATTAATAGTTAGATGCATTCACTGCTGTTTTTGCAAAACTGTTATTCCAAAGTGAGGAGCCCCTATGTCATCCATCCGTGTGCTTAAAAACATGATTATAGATATATATATATATAGATATCTATATATATATATATAGATATCTATATATATATATTAGGGCTTAATTCCATTTTAGATTAATGAAAGTCATAAATAGTTTCACAAGTCCAGTGGAAGGAGAAAAAGATAAACTTGATGGAAACAACATTCATTTAACATGATGTTTTGAAATTAGAAACATTGCTTTGAAATTGAATGGTTGTTAGGCAATCTGGGCCTGTTTAGCAAGGTTGTATTTAGTCATATGACTTTGAAATTAAAAATCAATTTCATAGTCATGTGTTTGTCCTAAACTTGTTTCTAAGGAGTCTTGATATGCTACCTTGTGTAATACTCCCTTGTTTTAATGGTGTGACAACTCTGCAAAAGATTGATGGCTGCTATTACCAGTGGAGAGCATACAGGTCTCATCTCAAGCTGCATATTTGACTGTGCTTCAGAACAGAAGCCACAGCCAATGCCAGATCTCTGGTCTCCTGAAATTTTGTCCTTCTTAGGATGACCATTTTTATCCCATTGTAATATTTATCTAATTTGTGATTATAATTTGCTGAATTCTGCAACTCTAAAGCCAAATGTGGTGCATCAGTTGATCTAACTTGGACCTTGCCAGGAGGAGGAAGTCAGGATGTAGAAGCAGTTAATTATTTTCCAGTATGAAGTTAAGTAGTCTGAGGTTAGAGAGAAAAAGATTAGTAAAGCAATTCTAATTGATTTGATACGGACAAGTCAACGGTATTCACTTGTGATCAGCACCTATGCAATAAAGGAAATTAAAACAGCAGGATACCCCATTCTTTTGTATGTTTTACTAGCCCCTGGGTACAATCCCATGGTTCCCGCATGAATTTGAAGTTCTATTCCACTTCACTAATCATTTTCTCTTGCACAGCTCTGTCCAGCTTCATACAATTATGATTCTATGAATCTCACAAAACTGCACATGATTAACACCAGTGCCATTTTTTATTCTTTGTCATCACTTTAATTTACTGCAAGATTTTTTGTTCTTTGATCCACTAATTGGATCCTTTCTTCATTCTCAGTTTAGAATCTGATCTTTTAGGAACATTGAACTTGGCTACTCCTTGTGCCCATTCCTTGCCCTCTCTTTTTTATTATTTGTTTCCTTCCTTCTCCTGCTCATGGCACATTCTGTTTTTTACAGATGAAGAAGTTTGACACATGTCTATTTTTAGGCAATTGCCATTAATAAATTAAACCTTATCCATGTACATTCACAGATTATTATTAATAAATTAAACCTTATCTGTGTACCCTCACAGAAGGAGCGTGGGCTGGGAAGCTAGGAAGATGTGGCTTTCCATGCATGGTGCCACTTGAAGTGTCAGTGCCAGAGATTCTCTCATCTCCAGAAAGCAGACAGGTATGGTTAGTGTCCTTTCTTCTATCTGGGGAACCAAATTCCCCACAAGGAAAACTAATGAGATTACTCCAGGGCAAAATGTGACCTACTGTCTGTGTGATATTTTGTAAGTGTATATTTTTGCATCCTCCCTTTGTATATTTCCTTTCACAATAATAAAGGGCATCTAACAAATACCAGACTGTCATCCCATCAGTGCTACTTCATGGTTTATGTGCTGCAAATATACAATTTGTGATGGATCTGAGGAATTAACATTTCTGTGTGGCTTTTGCTTCTGAGCTGGCATGGCCTCTCCTCCACACCGGCCCTCTCTTCCAGAGCTGGGCATGGTTAAACCATGCTTTGGTTTAACAAACTCCAGTTGTCTTTCCCCCTTGAAAGTAAAATCCTCATTAAAAAGACTGGACTTACAGTGACAAAAAGATACAAAATGAACACATATTTTTATATTGGGTTATAAACACTGAGACATTTTCTCTGGGAGAAGACAAGAGAAGAATGCATTTACATACCTGTCCTAGATATTGAAGGATAAATGCTGAAACTTTTGCATTTGAACATGTATCACAGCAACAAACTAGGGACTCTGTGTGGGAAACATCAGTAGGTTTACTGTATAATAGCTTTTATTTAAATTTATCGACAGTCTTCCATAGCATTCACAGTGAATTAAAAGATTCCATTTAAATGCTTTTTACAATTTACAGTATTTACTGTAAGCACTGAAGGTTGACTGGGAACTATTAACACCTATTTATCAGAGTGTTATGTTCAACAGTCTTCAGACTTGGAATATGCATAATGCTTTTGGAAGAGTTTTGCAGAGACAAAAATCTGCTGTGTGTTTCAACATTAACAAAGGACACAAGGAAGGCAGAGTTGCTATAGTACCTATATACATAGCAGTTCCTCAAGCCATATTCAGAGTCAACTCAAATATGAGAGAGAGTTGAATTCTTCTCTTTGCTGTTTACTATGAACAGAAGAGTCAATTGTGTAAGATGCAGCTACTTAAGCACAAGAGAGGATGGCTGAGAGGTGCCCAGAAATGGAATTTGGTCAACACAGTCTTCATTACTGTTGATAATACATGAGAAGAAAAGAAAGAATCCAGGTTGCCACCCAGCTATAAAAGCATTTTATAATGCTTAAATATAAAGCCCTTAGAAAATGCTCTGAACAATTTTGGCATTAGAAAAAGTACCATGGAGACAACAACAAAAAAAGACATCACAGAAGAAAAAATAATGCAAAGCTTCATAATATAGATTGCTCCTTCTCTTAAATATCTGAAAGTAATATTCCAGACATATATCTGTAATGTCTAGGAGAGATGTGACTTTTCCAGAAAACATGCAAATCCTCAAGTTCTTCATTCTTTTTTAATACCTTGGACAGAGACAAAGTAATATTACACTTCAGTAAGCCAAATGTTACAATTTTCTAATATCATATACAATACAGTATTTGAGTTTTTCTAAATAATATAAGCTCACAAATTAGAGAAGCTGTAACTATTAGATGGTGGATTTGTTAAGCGAGTGTATGATCTTGCAGCAATGCCAGTGATCTTCAAGCAAATAATCTGGAAGACAACAGATCTGCAAAGAGGTGTCCATGGCACATATTTTTTGCATGTGCATATGTGCACATGTGCTGTGCCCCAGTGGGCAGCCAAGAAGCACACAGCCATTTCCTCACTCATCCACAGTACAAAAACAAACAAACAAACAAACAAAAAAAAAACTTACAGATTGAGATAAATATAGTTTAATAGGACAGAGAAGGAAGGAAATTTAATTATATAAAAAAAAAAAGTGATGCACAGTGTGATTACTCACTACCTGTTGACCAATACACAGCCCACTGGCCCAACAGCCCCCCTCAGTGAATTCCCCCAGGTCTTATTGTTCAGCACAACACCACCAGGTGTGGGCATCCCTTTGGCCAGCCAGGGCCAGCTGGCCTGGCTGTGTCCACTCCCAGCTCCTGGTGCACCTCCAGCCTCCTTGCTGGCAGGGCAACATGAGGAGCAGTAAAGGCCTTGGCTCTGTGTAAACAGTGCTCTGCAACAACTAAATATATTAGTGTGCTGTCAAGACTATTTTTCTCCTCAGTCCAAAACACAGTGACATACCAGCCACTATGAAGAAAATTGTCTCACCCAAAACCAGGATAACATGCATGTACTCTTACATACATCATTTCTTGAAGCGATAAAGTAGGTTTCTTTATTATTACCATTAAATATTATTATTATTATTATGTTTATTTTATTTGTTTATTTATTTATTTTCAGATGCAGTGTTTCAGATTGTCTGATGAATGATACAAGATTTCTCCCATTACAGAAATCTCCTATACTCCTGCTCCCACGAGGAAATCCAGACTCTGGTCCACACTGTTGCAAGGAACAACTGCGCTGACTTTTAGAACTCTTTGGATCATACCTTTACTAAGCCAGGCACTGACTGATTTTGAATTTGGCTGGAATATATTTTGATATTTAGTTGTCTGAGACTAGCATAAAATTGTGCTTCCTGGGTTTCCTGTAAAACACACATTCAACAGGCTAGTAAAGTATACTTTAACCTGATGCAAAACTGTCTTCATTGCCCAGTATTTCTTTCAGCTGTACTACATCACTTGCAATATTAGTGTGATCTGACATAATATGTGATGGTATTTTAACTGTCTTGTTTTCTATGTCTTGCTATGGACAAATTTAATAAATAATTGTATGTTAGATTTTA